AAAACTTTATTTAGAAAACTTTATAGTTAAATTGTATAAAATTATATATGTAGAAAGTTTTAACTAATTATTTAACAATTAAAACATGTGTATAGTATATATTTATAGTTATAGCACAAAGTGTACATGGAATGTTTTGTTTTCAATATTATATCCTCTTTTTGAATGTTCCTTTTAATATATAAATTTGTAGAAGAGTTATGAAGAATTTTTTATTTCGTTATGCATATTTTCCGGATTTTTTTTATTAACTTTTACGTATGAGTTTCATTTATTTCATTCATATTGTATTAGTCTAGTTTCACTTAATTTTCCTATATTCTTATAGATCGTTTTTTCAACATAACGCTAAATTATTTATTTGACAGTAAACGATAAATAAAATAGTACATCATTAACAAATGATGAAGATTTGTTTGCAACAAAGTTCAAATTTTTGCACATGATATTGTACGTAAAATATAAATTGTTTGCAGTTAATATTTTACCCAGTACCTTATTTTTGTGTAAATTCAGTTTTGTAGTTACTTTTTCTGTTTGAATTGTTATAATTTTCATTTAATTTTTGAAACTTATTTCACAGGTTTTCTAAAAAATTGAAATGTGACTGAAAAAGCCTTCGATAGTGATGGAAAACCAATCGTGCCGTCTAGACCACTTGTAAAAAGGATCTTAGCTAACGATCCGAAGAGATTTTGTGGAAAATACATGTTGAAAGAAATGATTGGAGATAATTTTGATTGCGACGCTCATTATGAGCGCAATAAAAAACATGCTTGGGCGGTTGTAAATTCTTCAAATATTATTCCTGTTCCTTCTGAATATAATGGAAAGCCAGAAAATTTACGTAGCAGTGCTGCTACTTTCTACACCACTCCAATTTCGTCTATCTGGCAATCAGAGTGTGGCAATTTCATTTTGTTCCCTCCTGATGATGCCTACACTTTTACTACGATTGAAAAGTTTCACACCAAGGACTGGTTTCCGAGGATCAATTTTAAAGAATATTTGTGTTACCCATCGAGTAGCACAAAATTCAACATTCGAAATCGTAAGTATAATTTGAATTCCATAAGATTCTTTTATGTATGAAATGTATTTTTGTTCGAGAGAGTTATATATGGCCCAAAATTAAGATGATTTTGAAACCTGTCAAAAATAAATAATAATTTTACTGTAAATTTGAACAATATGCTCTTGAAAAAATTAAGACTCTTTCAAATAAAAATAAAATGCATTGCTTGTTATGTGTATCTATCTTTGAAGCCATAAAACTTCTTAGAAATTCATGTACTTTCATTACAAATATTCATTTTTTGCAAGGCACAAATTCGAAATCTGTTTGGTGCTAATATTTTCTGTAGATTTGATTATTGTGTTAATGAACAAAATGTGCACTTTAAAAATGTATTATAATCAACAAAAAAATGGTAGTCACAAATTGAATGCCATTTTGTGTCTGAACATTTCAAATAATAAGTAAATCTGTTCAGCTGAACAGATTTAATTACATAATGAGTTTTACTCCTTTATTGGTGAACCATGAGTAATGATTGTATTACATTTCATTTTTCTTCTTTCCTTTTTGTTTTCAGCAACGAATTGGAAGCAATTTATGGGAGATTGTAAGAAAATACTAATGCGTCGAGTTTTGAGTGATTCCGAGGCGCCGAGCAATAAATCTAAACCGTCGGAGAAACAAGCAACTAACACATTCAAAAAGCTTCTAGTGAAAAGTGGAATAAAAGCTGTTGACAGAAAATTACCATCTGCAATCAACATTTTTGACCAAGATGCTCCTACCAGTCAATCTCGATCTTTGAAGCGCAAGTTTTTTGATGAGGTGATGTCCTCTGCTGACAAATTAGAACCGAAGTATAAGAAGCTGGCGAAGGGTAATAAATTGGCAGAAAAAATCCCAAGGATTCGAAAAAATTGCTTGAGAAAACAGAATTGAGAAAGCAGCAGACCATAAAAATGAAAACTCCACCAGTATCAGCAAAACAAAAATTGGCTTCTGCTATATCTTACAAATCAGACAAAGCGATGAAACAAATTAACTTATTTCCGAAAGGTTAGTATTTTTCCTCAATTCTAATTTGCATGAAATTATAATTTACTTCCTAATTCTGGGTTATATAAATTTAATTTTTCTTCTAATTCTGAGTTTCATGAAACGATTTTTTCTCCTAATTCTGTGTTCCGAAATATACTTATTTTGATATTTTAAATTTTACAGAAGATGACGAAGCTGGTCCAAAATTGCAAGCTCTTGTGGATTCAATTTCAGGAACACATGACAGTCAAAGGTTGTGTGACTCTGACTTTGACAGTCCTCAACCTGGCAGTATTCCAAGCAGCTCAGATATAGAATTGACTAATCAAGGGCAAGAAGTTCTTGATGTTGTTGTTGAACGAAATCTCCTACCACCACCATCCGCAGTTGCTTCACCAATTATTCAACAAGAAACCAGGGCCAGTAGACGCAATATTGGTTCTGCTGTAATTAATTATGCAGAAACGAAAAGTGACTGGATCTGATTTCGCTCAACCAACTTCATTCGATTTTTCAATTCCTCCACAACAACCAGCAATTCTGAAACCTATTGTACATAATAAGAGCATAGTGACTGCTGTCCCCAAAACTCCATCTCCAACTAGATTAATTGTTCCAACCCGAGGTTATACCTCTGTTCCTGTTGTTGCCATACCCCGGGACAAAGAAATGCAAGATCTATTTTCAACTATGAGCACTCAAAATATGGTGACCAGCAGTCAAGTCAGCAATATTGATCTCAATAACACATGCCCTTCGGTCATCAAGTATATGAATGAAAATCCATCTGGAAGTGGAATTTTGTTAAATCTGCTAACAACCGTCAAAGACATTCAGGTTGACCAAAAACTATTGAAAAATCAATTTCAGCTTTTGGTTTCAACTCTCAATCGCGATAGGAGGTTTTTAACAATCGATGGGAACAGTGATTTTTACTTCTCCATGGCAAGCGAAATTCAAAAAATTTGCCAATTACCTTTGTCAAAAATTGGCGATTTATGCGTTGCCGAAGAAATGTTCAAGAATGCTGATTATGTCAGCTTCTTGTTAATGATTTTCGTTACGAATTCGGTTGCTGGTGGCCCAGTGGGAATGGTGGCTGGGTTCGTGTGGGATAAGTTTTTTACCCCAAGCTTATCCAGCCTCATTGCCTGGGCCAGCATTGATGAATGCAGGGAAGATGGCTTCAAAGAATTTGGTAGGAAAGATGGGGAGAAGAAGAAATTGCTGTTGTTTAAATCACGTTTTCCGAGATTGACCCAAATGATTTACCACATCATTCGGCGACGTGCAATGCTGAGTGAAAAGAAACCACCGTCAACATTCAAAATGAATGAAGAAATTAAGAAAGCTAGGGCTGTCAGCGTCAGAAGATATACTACTGGAATGTATATTACGGACTTTCAAGACTCCTCTTCAGCGTATCCCGGCAGATTGTGTTTGGCAATGTTTTCTGAAGATATAGACCAGGGACCGGAATTTAATCAAGCAGATTTCAAAGAAGATCAGAAAGTCCGAAGAAATACGTGCTTCATTTGCTCCAATAGAAGTGCTATTTGTCAAAACGAAGCTGAAGGATTTGCTGGTGACAAATTGGGCCGAACAAGTCGAAATAAATCGAAGAAATATTCTGCAGCTGCTAAGAAAGAGGCGAAGAAATTCGTGAAGAAAAATAATACAGTAGAAAAAACTGCTGGTGGAAGTTGTAGACGACCAAATCGAAGAGTCAATGAGAAACCGAGGAGGGAGTTTTTGAATTATTGTTCGTTTGCTCATCGCTTTCAGCGTATTGAAGAAAGAGCGATGAATAATATGTCTGAAGGAGTTTCATTCTTGGATTGTCCGGCGATGACAAACCAATTGATTGAGGTACGTCATTTTTTAATACTTTGTTATTCTATTTAATTTGCAGCAGGCAAGATCGAAGTGATTATAAATGTTATATTTCTAAAAATCCTCTTTTTCTTAAACTTTTCCTTTTTTTTTTGTGGGCAAAATCCTAATTTTGATATAACTCAAATTTGTAATTCCTACTAACTGATTACAAAATTTGACACACATGCAGGCACGTTCCATGTACCAAGAGTATCTACAAATTCGAGCCTACCACGCGGATGATGACGATATTGGTGCGCCAGAAGACGATTCACCTCCAGGTTGTGGCAATAAACATTCTGGTCAAAGTTCAACTATTTCCAAGAAAAAGCGTCCACGAGCATGTGATGATACTGACGAGAGTGAAACCGAAGGTGATAACAGTGATGCGAGCAATAGCAGCAATGACGAAGAAGAAAAGAGTGACGAAGGGACAGAAAGTGATAAAGATTCGGTGCTATTCTCAGTAAGTCCGGTGCAATTCTCAGATAGCGAAGTTAGCGAAACTAGTGAAGAGGACGTAGTTGAGGAAGTTCAGGTAATACCAAAACCAAAGGTAAATTTTAATTTTAAATCAATACACTAAGAAAAAAATAAGAGCTGTTGACATTTTTTTTAAACAGAAGAAGAAGTCGAAGAAGAGGTCTGAACACAACGAGAAAGTGTTCGAAAAAGCTGCCAAAAAGCTGCCATGAAAGTTGGCAAAAAAGCGTATAAACGTTCCATGGAGAAAGACAGACATTTTAGTTCTTGAACATATTTTCTATTTTGAAGTTTAAGTGGTTTTGGTTAAAAATGTTTTTTTCTTTCAGTTTATTATATTATCAGCTTGAATGGTATTTACACTAATTGTTGCAGACTTCTAAGTCATTTAAGTTTTGTTTTACAGCCAATAGCATAAGAGTAGGAATCTTGTGTAATAAAATTCTTTTTGTAATATATTAATCTAAATCAAGTGTAGAATAGTACAAACAACTATTGAAATAATTATTGGAACATATATAGCAGGTAGAGGAGGGGGTGAAAGGGGGAGCACATGCTCCCCCGCGCCTTGTCCTATTTAGCGTCTCAAAGATTTAAATATAATATTTCAACGAAGTAAAAAATTGTTTTAGCATATATTCAAAAAACATTTTAGTACACACCATAAAAAGAGCGCATCTTTAAAAAAATAATGATGTAATTTAATTGAGTTTTTGAATCTTATCGAAAGTAAATGATTATTAGGCGCTAAAAAAATATTGCTGTTGGGCACCTTTATTTTAATTTTATATTTGGCGCCTTTTTAAAAAAGACTTTCCCCTACCTTCAAAAAGTTTAGGCTACGGACCTGCATAGTCTAAATTTAGAAACTTTACTCTAGAACTTTTTGTTTTCTTCTCTATTTATATGAAGTCTCCCAATGGAGATTGGATTGATTCAAAATTTTTGTAAGTCCAAATAAGTAAGAATTTCGTTTTCGCATTTTTAATTTAATACACAAATGTTTTTACCTTATTATTATCTTTATTATATTAAATACATGGAAAAATAGATTTACTGACAATTTGTAACATGGAACAAAGGAGTGCATACCCACTGTGCATTTTTTGTGTTTAATTGAATTTGTTCTTTTGCATTGATATCAATGTCAGTAACTTCTTTCTCATATAAGAGGCAGACGAACTGATTTTCTATGCAGTCTGCATTAACTTCGCGTTTTCTGTCATGATTTAAATCTCCAGAAACGAGAAAAATATTGAAATCTGATGAATTGCACGGATATCCTTCAAAGAAATCTCCTTGTTTTTTGAAAGGAGAAATTGAAACTTTAAATTTGTCTTCAACGTTATCATATCGCATGTCAGAAACAACGCAGACTTTAGGCTTGCCAATAGAACTGTTGACGAGAACAACATTGTTCGGGTATTTGTTGGAGATCGTAAAGTCCCGAAAAATTAATCGTTTCATATGGCGCGTTACTTGGAGTTCATAGGCATTCGGTTTGTTTCCTTCCTCTCCCATTTGATAAAATTTATTTGATGGATGGTCAGTAGAAATTGTGTTGATGACACCAAAATCATTCTCATTGAAGTTCGAAAGGTGTATAATGTTTGTTTCTGCTCCTGTTTGTCCGCCTTTTAGTAGAGCACGTCTTCTTTGACAACTGTTTATAAAAAGTCAGAATTATGATAAAATAAGTAAGTAAGAATTACACTTTTCATTATTAAGTCAGAAATAAATAAGTCTAAGTTAAATTGGAATTAAAACTCACATTGGCGGCAGAACAATGTTTGAAATCTTTTTCCGCATCAAGCTGTTGCGGATTTGTGCATGGACACGATGTCCGCCTCTTCCATCGAGCACATGGATAAAGAATTTCATCGAGTTCTCGTACCGAAACATGCAGCAATACTCAAGTCGACAATTATTCGCAATCAAATCATCGACAATATGCAGCAAGCAATGAAACGTATAACGTGGGAAGTCAGCGCCATACAACTAAATACAGTAAATTCTCTCTTGCTTTCCTGAGGTGTTCTTTTGGCACCTTCGAATTGTGCCCAGAGCCAACAAGCAACATTACGGCATGCTGAAAAGCAAGCAGAATTTTGTATGCTTCGGCTTTCATTAACGGGTGCCTGAGAATAACGATTGCAACATAAAGGAGGAAAATTCGCTTTTCAGCACACGACCAGGTGATTCCAAATTTCTTGAATGGTTTAGTACCAATGTTGACCTGGATGGCATATGGCAAACATCCTTTCACTTTCTTCAACTTCAATTCCAATGAATCCATTAATGCTTTAGAGAATTTTCCACCTTTCACTTTCTTGCCGTCAATCCATGTGTAATGAAAAAGCCAGGGAACAGCACAACTATACACAGTATGCATAGCATCAAGTGGAATACTATGCAATATGTTGAACCGACCTTCTGTTTGCTTCGAATACATCAGAAGAATGTTGTGTGGATCAGGAACTTTTTTGTGATACATGTCAGCATCCAGGTAATTTTTCTTTGTTCGCATCAGTAAATTTCGGGTTGGAACAATTGATAAATGGCCTCTTCGAGGTCCACCGGTCTTTTTGTTGATGCCTTTGCACAAGGAAACACCGCGTTCACCACATCTGAAGAAATAAAAAGTCGGAGTTAAGTATTATTAAGTTTAATGAAATTAGAAAAAAAATAAAATAGAACAGTATGTTTAATTTCGACTTACCTTTCACATCCGCAATAGGCATTTGAAGATGGGAATCCTTTTATAAACTGCCTGGCTGGGCCGTCACCGATGAAGAATTTCAAAAACATTGTGCACAATCGACGTTTGTATGCTAACTTCATTTCCTTGAAAATACATTTCAGGAATTGATTAGGACAGGACGGCTTGGCAGTTCCATGATAAAAACCAATGATGACCGGTTTAGAATTTCGTGGCATGTAGAAGCGGACACAATTTTCTAGGTGAGTGCAAGGACTTATATACAATAATTGACCCATTATTGGCCAACAAGCGGATTTTGCAGCTTTTTTTTGGATTTGCACTCCATCTGCGCTGACTTCATAGACAAGATGGGGGATTTTGTTGCTTCCCTTACACTTCTGACAATGATTTTGCTTCTGACCAATAGCTATAAATCGTTTATAGACCTCATTGGCATCAACACCTTCATCAACTGAGTCTTCAGAGGTTGATTTGCGGAACATGTGCTCTGGTCTTTCTTCGTTGGTCGAGTACAAGTCCGAATTCGACAAATCGCTGACATTGTAACCCAAGACTCTCTTTTTTGTTGCCTTTGATGGTATTTTGTATTTTTCGGTAGTAGCAGTAGCAGCAGTAGTTGCTGGACGAGATTCTGATGACACTGTAATTAATTTTTTCTTCTTTACTGACGGAAAGTTTGATGGCATTGGGCAATTTTGTTCATTTGAATCTGTTTCAGCCTCAGCCTCATCATCAGCATCACTAAAATCCTCATTGCTGTCATCACTTCCGCCTAGGTTTACATCTAAATTACGCGGTGAATGTTCGTTGTTTGACAAATGATACTGCAGGTCTTCAAACTCGACTTCTTCAAGTACCTCTTGTTCATCTACTTCATCAGCAGACTGTTCTGTATTTTTAACAGCATCAGAACAAGCAATTTCTTTCAAGGCAGGAATTTCTGCTAGCGTCACTGCTAATGAATCTGGTACGTTTTCAGAAACAGCCTCTGTACATAAATAACTTCTTTTAAGTGCTGAAAAATTATATAACAAAATGAGATTATTTAATCTACACTATATAAGTAAGAACTAGAAGTAATGGTAAATCGGAATTACAGTAGGTCAACAAATAAGAGTTATACATTACTGTATATTAGCATTTTGATTCCGTGTTAAGCATTAATTATATTAGAATTCACGCATACCTGCTGCTGCAGCTACTGATTCAGCCTTCCTACGAATGACTTGCCAGCGCCATTTCAATAAATCTTTATTGTATTTGTTCCGTTTACCAGTCACAAAGGATGGTTTTGTATCAATGACAGTTTTGGCAAAGTATTCAGGAAATCGAGTAACCAGTTCATCAAGATAAAAGCGGATGTCTTTAGAAATTGATCCTATCGAAAATCCAAGTAATCCAGCAAGCAATCCGTAATGTGCATATGTACCGAATTCACCACACGGTATTGGCCTGTATAAATATGTAATACAAATATAAGTGTATAAAATAGATATATAGTTTTTATTTAAACTTACATGTACTCCAATCTGGCAGTTTCCATTTGAGGACGCGATGGCTCCATTAATACCTTTTCAGACCTTGGCAATTCTGCCAGTTTAGGATCAAGCTTCGAACTCAACAGCATTTGAAGTACAAATGTTGTTTTTGATTCTGGCAAGTTCAAATGTGAAAAAACATGTTTCAGAAGATTATCCCATGTTATTTCTTTCTTTGGATGTTTAGCAGCAATATCTTTCATTCTTACTTTGATTTCCAGATCCATAACTGATTTCAAATTATGCAGATCATCGGGAGAAATAACTTTTTCTTCGTTGTCAACAGCAGCATCATTATCAGCAATTTCGTTTTCTGCATATTTGCTAAAGAAATTGTTGACAAATGCAGCATGATCTTGAATAATAGCAGCTTCTTTTGCAGGTAGTTCATCATCATTAAAAGGCTCTTCATCTTCATCACTACTAGAGCTGCTATTGCCAGTTTCTGATTTTGATTCACTTTCTTCCTGCTTATCAGATACTGCGCGTTCAATAACTAAGTCCAAAAATAGCGGCTTATTGCGAATGTCATTCGAATTATGGCCGTGTTGATTGAATGAATGCAGCATCGTATTTTGTTTCCTTTTTGAAGCAGGTGGATTATCATCGAGTGAACAGTCAGTACTTGATTGATTATAGTCCAATTCTTTTTGATTTATTTCGGCCATATACTGGATAATTGTTTCTTTAAGGCGATCGGGACTGACTGCTCGATTATTATTTGATCCCAAGTTCATGTATTCTTCATCTAATGCGTGGAGAGAATAATTATTATCTGCTTCTCCAACCTCTTCTTCTGCTGCAGATGTACTTGGAATCGAAGGACTTTGAGATGTGTTTACCTCCTGCTCAGATACCACCAACTTCCTCTTTTTAGCTGCTGCTGGTAAAGCAAACTTATCAGAAACTGAAAGCTCATTTAACGAGGAAGCTGATCCAGAAGATAAAGATTTTGTTTCTTCGTCGCCTGATGATGAAGCAGACGACGACGATGATGTAGTAGTGCTTAATGCGACAGGGCCGTCATCATGTTCATATAATCCGTTTATGTAAATTGGATCAACAGCACGACATTTCAACTTATTTCGATTCAATTTGGCAATTTTTTGCATTTTAGCTGCAGATTTCTTGGCATTCCTCACTACAGCAGCTAACTCATCTTCGCGTTTCAGTCTCTGAAGTTGCTGCTTGAAAAGATAATATAACGATTTCGAAACACAAAAGTCTCTCAATTTTGTCCTAGGACCTATAGATTTCTTAGCTATCAAGTATTCAAGATTTTCACGACCCAAGGCTTTCACTAAGTCATACTTCCCATCAGGCCTAATATAAGCAGGTTTTTTGTGACCGCCCTTTACTTCTAAATATAATTTAACTAAAATAATTTTATTTAACGTTTACCTTTGAATGCACTTATTAAGCATTGTTCGATAGCTAGTTACTAGTTCTTTTCTCATTTTTAAGTGGTTTCTAGACTTTTCTTAAATCGAGCGCTTGCATAAAGACCTTTTCTCACGACCTTTCATGCTATAAATTTAAGCTAGCAATTTAAGCTCTAAATGTTTAACATAACAGATAAGTATCTTAATGTTTTAAGTAATGGTAATATTATATTGTTATGGTAAACTACTTTTTTTAATTTTAACTTATATCTTCAGTTCTTATATATTTATATAATATTCGTATATAATTTTATTATTTTAAAACTTCGTTTTTTTATAGATCTTATAATTTTTAAAATATAGATGATTATAATTATATTTATCTCTAGTTATATTTATATCTAAAGTTATCTCTCTATCTATTGTATTTATTAATTCATATTAGGAGATGAATAATTTAGTTAAAGATGCTGAATAGTTAATGAATGAAGGTTTGTAGTTTCCTTGCCTTTGCGTCACTGACAGCGTCATCTTTTTATATTTGTTTAGCTTTAAAGTTTTTTTTATTGAATTCTTAGAGAGTAAGTTATTTTTTTAATTTTGTCACAGAATCGTTATATTTATTTCTCTGTTTTCTTTCGAAATTCGTGTTTAAAATGCATATAAGTTTTTGAAGTTATGCTTTTTTTTTTCATTTTCTTATATTACAGCATTATAATCTTATATTATAAAACGAATATAATAAAATAATTTTTATTTTATGTATGTAAATATTTTTATATTTGTTAGTTGACAATAATTTAGAAAATAGAGAAGTCCAAAGTAAACTTAAATATATTTTGAATTTTTTATGAGTGAATTAGTATTTTTGTTTTATTTTATTATAAATTGCAGTTTGTATATGTATATACATTTACAAACTGCCATCTATAAATGAACTTAAGTATTTACATTAGTTTTTATTTCATTTAAACAAGCGAATGGGTTTTGATATTTAGCTTTTATTTAGCTTTTGCTTTTTTTGTTGTAAATACTTTATATGGCTTTGTTTAATTTGAGATTTGTTGGTTGTGTTTATTTAGCTTTGCTTGTTAAGGTGCTTATTTGCTGAGAAGAAAGTTACACAAGCGAATTTTAAGTTTGTATATACTTTTGATATTATCTTTATAAATGTTCTGATCTTTAAAATGAGTAAAATCATTTTTGGTAATGTTATCTTGAATTTTATAGTATTAATTTTTTATACTTTAAACTTTTTTCTTTTTTGTTTAGACTTTAAAAATTTCTATTTATGATTTATAACATATATTTTTAAAGTTCTGCTTTCACGGTATTTGGTTTTAGTTGGCTCACTGTTTAATATAACTTTAATTTAGTAAATTTGAAACTCAATTAAATAATCAATTAAAGCTAGCGAGTAAGTCACTTTGATTCAATAACACCGAGGAATTTATGACTTAAATTTTTTTGCTTGAATAGTTTCCGATTATTTTTATATACTATAAACATTGTCAGTTTCTAGCTCATTTAGTATATTCGATGACGATCAATTGTGAAGCGACAATAACATTGTGAAATTTTTATAGGCATATGTTTGGTGTGCATCTTAAGATCATGTTGGGGTTTTTAATAAATGTTGAACTTTTTCCAAACAAAAATTATAGTAACTGTTATACATTTATTTTAATAAATCAACAGGATGATAAAATTTAATTTGTGTACGTAAACTTGGTCAAATTTATCTTAAATAGGTTTTTAATATGTTATATATATGAAATTAGTTATCATAAAGTTCAAAATCAAAACTTTTTGCCTGCAGTGGAAAAGCTAAGAAAAAGGACTTAAAGATTTGTTTTATATAAATAAATGCAATAATATAAGGGAGTTAGATGAAAGATTAATAATAAAGAAAAGTTTCATTTGTTGGTTTTGCTTATTCTTTACATTAATATATATAGAAAATATTTTGTAGGGCTGACAACTTTATCGAAAAGGTGATAGTTCAATTTCAGCTTCGATTAATAAAGTTTTTAATAAAGCTATGTCAAAAAGTGTTCAATCATTGTTTAATAAAGCAGGGAGATATGACAAAAGATTATTTTAAAAACGTTGTGCAAAGCAAGTAGGTAATTTTTAAATTTTAAATTTTGACATGTTTGTTATTTACATCATATTAGGAGATAAATAATATAGGCAATGTTTAAATGTTGACATGTTTGTTATCTTATTTTATTCAATAATCAAATGATAATTACGTTTTATTTCATTGTTATACAAACTAAACATGTTTATACATCACACTAATTTACCCTTACTATAATTGTGTGCATATGTAGCATTCTTTGTATGTGCTAATAAAAATGCTCAAAATATTTATATTGGATTTCTTTTTTAGAAACAATGCTGTCACATGTAACAAAATTCGATTCGGTGTCAGTTCGTCAATGCGTTGATAGGCGATCAAGAAAGCTCCTTAAAAAATAAAATATTTTATATCGTTTTTGTATACTTTTTCATTAAAAATGAATATAAAATTATTAAACCTTTAGACAATTATTTCTTTAAAAATCTCTATGCAAATTTAGGCTGCTACACCTAAATTTTTTATATAACTTATCTGCATAAAAAGATTTAAAACGTTTTAAAGCGTTCTTGTGCCCCCTGGGCAGTTACAGCAGACTAATTCCGAGATAAGTGGCTGGAAGTAATCCCTATATGGTGAAAGCACATTTACTTAAAAAAATATTTCTTATTCCTGTATTGATTTGAGTAATTCTTACTTAATTCACATTTGCTAATTCCTACTTATTTTCCTAAAAATCGGAATTAAGTTTTTTACAAAATTGGGAATTAGGTTTATTAAAAAATTCGGAATTAGGTTTTTTACATAATTCGAAGAGTCCAATTCCCAGTTATAAAACTTAAAAGTTTCTAATTCCGAGTTGCGCTCTAATAGGGTATGTTAAGTATATTAATATATACTAGAATGAATGTTCTTTATTACCATATAGTTTCATTTTTTTTATCTGACTAACAATATTTTTTTACGACTCTATAAAAAAATTTCGACGACTTATGCATAAACCGTTATATAAAACTTACTTTAGTAATTTCCTATTAATTTTTGAAAGGTCAAACTACTTTCTACTTTTAGTGATGCTAGATCAACAGCTCCTGAGATGAATAGTACTTGTAAGGTGTGAAGAATATTTTCAAAATTTTATTACTTATGCTGGATCTATTTGTACCGAAGGAGTGCCATATTTACATTACTTAAGAAGTCATGTTGAAAAGACTATAGTATTATACGCTAGATTCGGATGGGGTTTGAATGTTTAACTGTAACGCATGTAAGTATTTAAACAAATAAATCAAGTTTTTAGAACTAAACGAGACGAATTAAGACAGTGCAAGGCTCCAAATCATAGTTAGGTTAATACGTGTACGGCAATTCATACTAACGGATTCTGTTTTTCCAAAAACACAAGAGCTAATTTATTATGTTTGAAAAACACTTAGACTTAACAAGAAAAACAAAATCTGTTCTCTACAACCTAATCATCCGCCAAAACACCTTAAGGAATCGGACGACGAAGGTTTATAAAAAGTATTTTTATCTGATAAGAACTATCATGTAAGGATTATTTTGTCTGGATCATTCTTTGTTTTTCTGTATGATGTTATAATCAGCATTAAAAATTGGTTCGAATTCTACAGATATTAAAGTACAATTATTACATTTATTTTTTAGTTTAATTATTTTTAAGAAATGTCATTTATGAAAAATTGTAAATATTTTTAAATTTTTATACAATTCGCAACAGTACTTTTTGCAATAGGTTTTTGATACATTTTTATTTACACCAAATCCAAATAAAAAAACATCGAAAATGGTTTTATTTACATGTAATATGTCCAGTCCAAATTCAGTTTTTTTCTTTTACATCTAAAGCTATAAAAAAAAATATTTTTTTTATTTGAAAGACTACCTAGGCAGTTCTACCTTACCCTTATTCACGGTATGTACATTCACTGCGCCGACTTTCTTTAAGTCTCCATTGGAGTTTGACAAGAGAAAAATTTATTTAAGTATAGTCCTAGAAAGAACTCCAGATTTAAAAGTCACAAAATGAATATATTGTATGTAGTGTTGTAGAATGCACTTTGCAAACTAGAGAATTTCAAAGTATAAACTGATTGCATGTTTATTGAAAATGAAACATTTCCTCGTTTTATAAATACTAGATGGCTTGCTTTTTCTGCAACACTCATAAAAGTTCTGTTAAAATTTGTAAAATTTGTAAAATCTTGTTAAAATGGTAAAATTTGTTGAATTTGTTAAAACTTTATATTTTCAATTCGATTAAGTAATTTATTGAATATTTATTATTAGTTTGATCATTAAGTTGTTATTAGTATTGCGCTCAACTAGTTATTTAGCACAACTGTTTCGTTTGTTAATGTTTGTATTATGAAGTAGAAATGGAGAAAAAAATAAGCAATAGTTGAAAAAAAAAAAGAGTAGCCTAATCATTTGTATCACCATAAGAATAGTAGCCCCATTAGTATCGGAGTAGTATCGGAGCCCCATAATTGTCATAAGTAGCCCCAAAGGCATCGGAGAGGTACATTAAAAATATCAATGTATAATAAATGACTGTTTTATCTAGATTATATCTGCATACACAAAAAAACTTTAGTGTCTTTAAGTTCTGCAACCCTCTGCAATTGACCATTCCAGGTCAATTGACCAAAATCTTTTTTATAATGCGAGTCACAAACTTGTGAAATAGTCTATTATTGGAAACACTATTTTCATCATCTGCCGGATTGTTTAAATAATACCTAGACGCAGATTGGGAACCTTAAATGTAAAACTACATTTAAAAGAATAGACCTGCACACGTAGATAGACTTATTTTTGTGTCTAATTATTCTGTATTAAAATTATAACTATAAATAATAATAGTAATAATAATAATAATAGTAATAATAATAATAATAATAATAATAATAATAATAATAATAATAATAATAATAACAATAATAATAATAATGATGACAAAAAGGAGAAGAATATTGATAACTTGCAAAATAAACAATCTATTGCAGCTGAGTACTGATATCCGGAATTAAGGAACGAA